GAAAGATTTACTGCATTACATGAAAGTGTGACATTACGGTTTTGCTGAAGTTTTATAGGAATTTGTTTTAGATTATGTATCAGTGCTTTATCTCCACTTATTGTATACTGTCTCTTTCAATCCTGCAGTGCAACACTAGTATGGAATCAGCATCAATTCAGCTAAACCCTAGAAATTTGTTTAAGTAAAATACCCCATGCTGTGCAGTTATGCTGCAAAAGATGTAGGCTGCTGGGGATTCCCGTGATGCATTGAGTATTTCTTCTTCAGTCACCTTTCTCACTCAGTATGTGTTAACAGACCTCTCTGCACTGAATCATATCTGTTATTAATCTCTGTCTCTCTTCCACAGCATGTCTTTATCCTGTCTTCCTTCTCTCACCCCAACCAGTCGCAGCAGATGGCCCCGCCCCTCCCTGAGCCTGGTTCTGCTGGAGATTTCTTCCTGTTAAAAGGGAGTTTTTCCTTCCTACTGTCGCCAAAGTGCTTGCTCATAGGGGGTCATATGATTGTTGGGTTTTTCTCTGTATGTATTATTGTACGATCTACTGTACAATATAAAGCGCCTTGAGGTGACTGTTCTTGTGATTTGGCGGCATTTAAATAAAACAACTTGAATTGAATTGAATTATTCCAGTTATGATTGGATGCGACAGTGTGACTCAATGTCCAGTTGTATCCCTGAGAGTGTACCGGAGGAGGTTGTGTTTCTGAAACAGAAGGTCCACAATTGAAAAATGTCTGTTTTGTGAAAGTGAAGTATGATCTAAAAAGTGTCAAGTATCCGAATGATGACTAATAACCATAGCTGGCAACTCAGTCCAGTTTTTTTTTTTTTTTTCATTGCATTGACTAAATTACAAAAAATTGCTTATATCTATTTTAACACTGCAGGATTGTTTCTTGTTTCCCTCAGTAACACTACATTTAGTAGGAAATTAGAAGAGTTTATTTTTAATTCTGTCATGCTGACAGAATGACATTAAATGACAGTAGAACATCCTTCAACATAATGAATGAAACAGCAAACAGATCAATAGAAAATACTGTTTTTCCACATGAAATCACACATTACTTAAAGCAAATTATGCTGTACTTAAAATTACAGTATAATCATATCAGATTTGTTCCAGTTCTCAGTGTGTCTGCTCCTCTCTTTCCCTCTCTGTCTCCTCAACAGGATCATTTGTAGTCAATGTGACACAGACCTGCTATCAGGCAGAGGAGAACCACAACATCACACTGGAGTGGACGTTCACCACCAGACCTGATGGATCCACAAACTCTGTTTCCATCAGGTGTCAACACAAGACTAATTTTAAAACCTTTGGCTTCTATCATGTGTCCAATGGTGTTGAAGTGTCAGCATCTTCAACTGTCCAGACTCAGGACGATGACTCGGGTCTGTACCTGTGTGAGGTACTGATCATGGTGCTGGTTATGAGAGCTGTCGCCTCAGCATCACAGGTAAATTACTAAGGAGTATTTGTATTATTTTCTTTTTTTCTTCTTTAAATATAATTTCACCACTGAGGATAATAAGGGCATTACTGCTTTTCATAACAGATGCATAATATATATTTTAATGGCAACACATGTCTCTGTGTTTTTTACAACAGCAGCTGATCAACGTCAGAGACTGACACTGTCAAGCATGAGCTTGTACGTTGGTCTGGGGCTGGGAGTAGCTGCTGTAGTTTCTGTGATTATTGGAAAGGAGAAAAAGCCACAAAACCCAGCAGGGAGTGCCTTAGAGACACAACCCATCAGGACTAAGGAGACTTTTTCTGAAGGACCCGCTTCCTATGAGGACACATCATTTCAGATGTACTTATAGACATGAACCTCTCTCCCAATAACATCTGTTTGAAATGTCAGACAGCAGTTTATGATCTAAAACAGAAAACTGTAGTTTTTCTGTTTCATTATGTTTGTGCCACACTTGGTTTGACTGTTACATAACTAATAATAATAATGATGGATTGCATTTATATATTCGAGAACCTCAAAGCGCTGTACAATGCCACTATTCATTCACTCTCACATTCACACACTGGTGGAGGCAAGCTACAGTTGTAGCCACAGCTGCCCCAACTACAGCTGTTTCCTCCGATGTGTAAAGAATGAAACAATGATCAAACATTTACTGTTTTATTATAAATTTCATTACATCTTTGACGTTCTCATTTAACCCCCATATTACTGTTTTAAGTAATGTTAATTTTAAACTTGTTTTGAGAGATCAAGGAATTCTTGCATGTCCTAACTGACATGGATATGGTTTGGTTAGTGTTGCTTTTTTATTTTGTTTGATATTTATTGTGTTGTTTAGGGTGTTTTACTGAAGCAGTTTGCAATAAGTTCCATAAAATAATAATAAGTTATTATTAATACTACTACTACTACTAATAATAATAATATATTTGATTGGATACAGTGAAGTGGTGAGCTTATAGCACCATCATCTGGCCAAGAGGGTGAATTTCACTTAGTTCCATAAGTGGAGGAAAATACTTATTTTCATGGATATTTTTCTTTCCCTATAAAACAAATCTATCCATGCCTAAATCATTTTGATGAAATTCTTGTTGCTGTTATGCTCCTCCTCCATAATGCATAAAGAACTGTATGTTGTATCTTCATGCAGGAACAACGTCTCATATTGACCTCAGAATCTGTTTCCAGACATGATTTGTGTCCTGCAGGCAGCGTCTTGAAATCTGAGTGTGGTTCAAAGTTTAGACTGGATTTAAAACAAGAAGAAAGCATCGGGCATGAGATATGAAATTCCTCCAGTTCACGAACTCCAGGGCCCTGTTTCAGGAAGCCGGTTTAGAAAACTCAGAGTGAAAAACGATACTCAGGGTTGAGTAACCCCGAACTGTCCAACTCGGAATATTCGGTTTCAGAAAGGCTGATAACAATTAGTTCAATCAACGCGGAGTTGCTTTAACCCCAAGTGAAGTGCGCGGACGAGGATACATAAAGCCCTGATAAGCGGAGCACAGATTAAGCGAGTCACCATGGAGACGGAGGGAAAGAAGGCGCGGTCAATGTATTTCACAGCGCTTGAGGTCGAAAGCCAGACCAACATGCAGTTGTGAGTAATACTCCACAGATTATATGAGGTTACAGTAGAACAGCAATGTTGTTAACTTCTTTACTACAGGAAAATAATGAAGAAACATTGACAGCTGTTACAGAGGAGGAAGCAACAGAGACACTTTATGAGGTTTACATCTTTTAATACTTTGTGTACAGGAAACACAGGCGACCAATAAAGCCAGTTGAACAGAAAATCTGTTTATTCTTCTTTCAACATGTTGAGGTGATGGGTCAAAAGAAATGATTGTGACATATGGTGTCTCTGACTGCGTTTCCATCTTGTATGTCCGTGGGAGGGTCAGGATGTTCATGGTTTGGATCACTGCTGTTTGGTTCAGAAGGACAGTGTTCTCCTCTAATTGTGGCAATGTTGTGAAGAATCACACATGCCACAATAATGTCACATGCCCTTTCTGGGGTGACCCTGAGTCTTTGCAGGCACTGGAACCGGGCCTTAAGCATTCCGATAGTCATTTCAATTCTGGCTCTTGTCCTGCAATGAGCCAGATTATATCGCTGCTGTGGGCCCGGTTCAGGGTCAGAGTAAGGGGTAAGCAAATAGGGTAAACATGGATACCCCCTATCACCAAGCAAGTAGCCAGTGAACTCTCCTAAGACAGAAGGATACACTTCAGTTCAAATGTCCCTGAAGCAATTGGTCTTTATATATTTTAAAGTATTCTCAACTCACCATGTCCAAATTTTGTGCTCAGTGTACATTCACGGAATATTTGTGAGTCATGGACAGAGCCTGGCCACTTGGCTTCCACATTTGTGATAATGTTGGCAGCATCACATATGATCTTCACAGTGCAGAGAACACAAATTAGCATCCATTACTATAATGAAATAATTTGTTAGTTTGAAATGCTACAGGGAACTATGTACCTGTACATTACTGCTGTGGAAAGACTTCCTGTTCACATAGTCTCCTTCATTTACTAAAGGAGCAATGACTGGAATGTGAGTGCCATCTGTACAGCCAATCACGCCTGGGAACCGTGACAATAAATGTAAAATTTAAGTAGTAGTTCAAGTATCACCACATCATGAATTAAGTTTTGGTCATCCTGATACCTGCAATTTTGTGGCATCCCTCTTTGATAAATCTTGTGGGTCTGTGACCGGGGAACACCACAAACGAGTGCAGGAGACGTTTCAGTGCAACTGTAACATTCCTGACTGCCCGACAGACGGTAGCCTTGGAAACGTGCTCAGCGTCACCAATATTATACAGAAAGCTCCCGTTTGCAAAAAACTGAAGTGCAATACAAATAATATGTAATGAACTGTGAGCATGTCCGCGATGTGTCACATGCGTAATATATGGCCTGAGGAGGTTATCCAAATAACTTATAGATTGTGCTGAGAAACGGTGACGTTCACACAGAAACTCATCAGGAAATGATAAAATGTCCAAACGCGCTCTGATCACTCTCTCCCGGCGGAGAGCTCTGCGGAGAATTTGGGCTTCACGATCTACTGGCTCTTCAAGGAAGGAGCACGCCATGTCTGACACTTCCTACTGTCAGGTTTCCGACAAAGAGGCGGAGACAGTCAGGGTTAGTTGTAGTAAACCTGCTAGGGGGCAGGTTAGCTTCACGGCGTGTGTCGTCATAGTGACTCACTGAGGCTTCATCTGAACTCGCTTTGTGAAACCGAAAACCCAGAGTTTTCGTTAACTCAGGGTATACTTACTCAGTTTTTCCACTAAACCGGCTTCCTGAAACAGGGCCCAGCTCAAAGAAATCGAGTTCATCAGCCTGTGTGTGTTGATTTGAGAGAGAAATGAAATAAAAGCAGCAGCAGCCGCCTGCTGCCACAGCTTTAGTTTGAGTTTGTTGAAACCATAAGTTACATTTTAGGAACAGAAACCTGCAGCAGAATTTTACACTTTTTTATTTCTGCTTCTAAAGTATTTTTAAAACCATAAGCAATGAAACACTGAACCATCTGCTCACCTGAGACCCTTGTTTATGGAATATGCATGTATCAAAGTTTAATAACAAAGCCTAACTCTTGTATGCGCATAAAGAAATGACTATTTTCTCACTGCATGTTTGTTATTGCAAATCTTGTAAACTCTGTTATTAATAAAGTTTATTGCTGTTTGTAAAAACAAGGGTCGTGACAGTGTGCTCCTTAAAGGAACACATACACGTTGAGGAAACAGGAAGCAAATGAAGTGTGTTATCTGCCGTAACAAAGTCCAGTCCCTACTGTCAGGATTAAATAACAGCACATTTCCTTCTTTGGTCTTGTTGAGTCCAGGCACTTGTTAAAGTTTAACCACTGAATACAGCTGATAGGAAAACAGCACATTTATAGGCTAAATCCTCTGGTGGATTAAAGGCTGTACAAACTGAAGAGAGCAAAAGTTTTTTTTTGTTTTCTTTTTAAAGTTCCCATTTGGTGGCAGGATGAGTGTCCAGCTTAGAAATAATAAACAGGACACACATGGGAGCATAACCTACCCCATCATCCTTTCTGCAGTGATACATGAGCACATAATATGCACTTCATATCACAATGAGGCTTTCTGATACTTCAAACATACATTACACAGTCTTGGATTCTTGAACCTCAGGTTTTCTGCCTGATGGCTCCCTCCAAGTCCTGCTTTTAGTTTCTCTTGGTGCAAAACGACACCACAAAGCTCCTGTTAAACATTTAAATGAAATTTTGGTATCTTCTCAGCCGAGTACGACATCTTAAGGCACAGAAGCGATTAACCAGTAAAACTGCAAAGCCAAGTAAAGCTGCCAGTTCGAATCCCAGTGCAGTGTAGAGGACCGTCCTTTGCATCCAGGTGTGTGCTGATGGACTCAAAGTTGATCCCTGAGGTTTGGAACGAACAGCAGCTGCTGCAAAGGAGAGAAAAATTAAGAGAGAATATTTTAATATCATTGGTAGCTGTTAGCAGTTCCTGTTCTGAAAACATCATAAAGAAAGAAACAACAAAAAACTTTGATAACAACTGGAGCACAAAGAACTCGATGAACAATAAGATTACTGACAGGCCCTGCTGCTCTCTTATATTGCAGAATTGGTAAATATGAAGTTAAAGGGAACCAACAAGTCAACTGTATATCAGTACAGTGACATATAACCCCTTTAACCTGGGGGGTCGAACTCAAGGGCCGGTGTCCTGCAGGTTTTAGATAACACCATGGGTCAACACACCTGAATCAAATGATTACTTCATTACTAGGCCTCTGGAGAATTATAAGACATGTTGGGGAGGTAATTTAGCCATTTAAATCAGCTGTGTTGGATCAAAGACACATCTAAAACCTGCAGGACACCGACCCTCGAGGCCTGGAGTTCGACACCTGTGCCTTGAACATTGGAAATTGCCTTTTCTACTCTTTTGTCCAGCTTTGAAAAGGCAAAAAAAAACCTTTCAAGGTTCTGACATGCAGACACAGTATCCTTCAGATAGAAAAAAAATTCAGCTATTTGCAGACTTTATGCTTTCAAGATTTACATTACTTCGATCTTTAAAGCACAGGCAGGAGGAACTTCATCTAATTTTAAATCTTTATAAAAACTATTTGTACTGCTTTTATATATTTATGCTATTTTTAAAGAAGTGTTATTCGAATGTATATTTAGAATAAAAACTGATTGTATTATTTGTTTTAGGAAAACAAATATTCTTTGTTGGTTTCTGAATGTCAAGATGGAGTAATTCGTACTGCTTTAATCTTCTTACCACGTATGCTGAGTCGACAGTAGTCAAAGCCATAATCATACTCGGTTTTCACCTCACACAGGTACAGACCCGAGTCATCAGTCCTGAGTCTGGACAGTTGAAGTCTGATTCGTCCTTCTCTGAGGGCGTCTTTGTCACTCTGGACTCGTCCTGAAAACTTTGCATCCTGAGACTCTGACACCTCAACACCACTGGACACATGATAGAAGCCTGAGGTTTCATAATTAGTCATCTGTTGACAGATGATGGAAACAGAGTTTGTGGAGTTGTCAGGTTTGGTGGTGAACGTCCACTCCAGTGTGATGTTGTGGTTCTCCTCTGCCTGATAGCAGGTCTGTGTCACATTGACTACAAATGATCCTGTTGAGGAGACAGAGAGGGAAAGAGAGGAGCAGACACACTGAGAACTGGAACAAATCTGTTGTTGAGCTTTATTTGGAGTTCATAAAGTGAAGCTGTAAACTAACCAGAGACACATGAGGTGAGGATGATGAGCAGCAGGATCCTGCAGATCATCTTCTCCCTGTGAGAGGAGACAGAGGTGAAGAGTCATCAACACATGAGGTCAAAGGTCAGTCAGTACAGCTAGAAGAAGGAAAATCTACAGTCTGACTTCATTCACTAATCACAACATCTGATCCTGTTCATGATCTTGTTAGAAGTAACGTTAACTCGGTCACCAAGTGCTGAAAAAAATATTTAGTCTTTTTACTTCAGTAGAAGTCAGAATCCTGCTTATGCAACCATGACGGGTGTGGCTTATGACTCAGCTGCAGGGATGGGGTGGAGCAGCAGGTTCAGGGTGTGGTTTCAGGGGAGGCTGACCCACATAGCTGTTTATCATCACTTGGTCATTCATTCTGTATTTCAGTAGGTTAACAGAACCTGACAGGATTAGTGTGTGAAGCAACAAAGGTAGCAAACGCTGCAAATAAATATAGCTCGACTTTGACTTCGGTGTGTGCTTCAGGTCCTTCTTGTTAAAGTAACATGTTAGCATCAACTTTAAAAAAAAAAAATCTAGGACAAAGATTATTACAAAAAAAGTCATCAAAACAAAGCACTTGAGGTAGGTTTGGAAAAGTAAAAATATATCAACACGTTCTAGCTTTGGCTTCTCAAGTTCATAGAGACTCAAACAGCCACAGAGCTATTATAATGTCACTCACCACAGCTGTGCAACACTAAGCATCATTCCCTTCAGCCTCTGGGAGAAAAAAAGTTACTATGGCCTTAGTCCGCGCTCAGTACATAGTAGGGATCGGCAGATAGATCGAAATATTAATATTAATAGTATCCATGTCGACACTGGTATTGGTGTCAGATCGATATGAATGTGGTGCAATCGATACTGTCTTTTCTCTTTTCTTCGTTCAGTGCGTTGGTCCCATTTCAAAGTGATCGGTCATCACGGAGGCCCTCGTGTGATGAGTGAATAACTTTTATGCTTAAAAAATATATATTTAAATTATAAGCAAAACTTAGCTGTGATGAGGATTGGGAAAGCTGGGACTTATGTGTCAGAGGTAACCAATTCAAAAATCATCATTAGGCCGTAACACAGTGAGTTACATCCGCCGACAGGTACAGTGGGAGGATGGCATCAGGAAGGGGGTAAGGGTAGCCCAAACTAGAAAACAGCTTATCCCTAAATCAGGGCCCATTTATTCTAGCGGGCAGTGTTAATGCAGATAAGGGGAAGACACCCTGGGTTAGACAGACTCACTTTGTAGCATAAGGCAGGTGCCTTATGCTACAAAGTGAGCATAAGCACAACAATCATATGACCTCCTATGAGCAAGTGTTTTGGCAACAGTGGGAAGGAAAAACTCCCTTTTAACAGGAAGAAACCTCCAGCAGAAACAGGCTCAGGGAGGGGCGGGGCCATCTGCTGCGACTATTTGACAAGCTGTAAAAGACACCAAGAGATTAATAATAACTAATAATTCTCATCAATAACACAGACATGAGTTCATCAGGCCTCTCTGTGTTGATTTGACAGGCAAATGAAATGAAAGCAGCAGCAGCAGGCTGCTGCCAAAGCTTTAGTTTGACTCTGTAGAAATCCAAAGTTATATTTTAGCAGCAGAAACCTGCAGCACAACCTTAGACTTTTCTTTTATTTCTGCTTCTAAATTATTTTTAAAACCATAACAACTGAAAAACAGTTGCTCGCTCTTTCTCTGTGGAGTTTGCATGCCCCCTCCTCCCCTCACCTCACACTGGATTCCTCTCAGTTCTTAAAAAGATTAGTATTTTTTTCCTCTAATATTAAAGGATAACAGATGCATATACATAAACAAAAGACTATTTTCTCACTGCATGATTGTTATTGCAAATTTGTAAACCACATTATTACTAAAGTTTATTCCCGTTCTTGCTTCACATCTTGGTGTCGACACAAAAGGGTAATGGCTGTGTGCTTTTTAATGCAACGCGTACAGTTTTAGGAAACAGGAAGTGAATGAAATGTTTCATCTACTGTACTAAAGGCACATTTCCTTCTTTGGTCTTGTTGACTCTGATTATTGAATACAGCTGCTGGGAGAACAACATATTTATATGGGGAAAAGAAAAATGTCTTTTCACTCTAGCTGCGGTCCTTCTCCCACAAATCACCTCTGACACTCGTCTCCACCCACTCCACCCTTCCTGCACGCACTTCCTCGCTTCTCTTGTCTTTCGCTTTGGATGGTATTTAAAACTCATCTGCCTTCACTGTTACACCCGCCTCCTTCTCATTCACACACACGTACTCTGACTTACTTCTACTGGCTTTCTTTCAACTTCTAGCCAGAGCATCCCTCCACCTCTCCAGGCTTCTTCCACCTGCTCTCTACTCTCACTACAAATCACTATATGTGATCTGCAAACATCACAGTCCACGGACACTATTGCCTGACCTCATCTGTCAGCCTCTTCATCATCACTGCATTCAAGAAGCTCTTTCTTGGCATGAAGCCTGCTGCTCACTGATCATCAACAACTTTTTCCCATATCTTCACGGTGTGGCTCATCAGCTTGAGCCACCTGTACTTACTTGGGCTCTGCACATCACCCTTGCTCTTGGAAAATCAGCACCAGCACATTTGTTCCATGATTGTGTTCAACAGTCAGTTCAAAAACTCCACTGCTCTCTCTCTTTCTCTCTCTCTCTCTGCCAGATATCACACCTGCACAGGTTTGCCATCTGGGCCACATGCACTTCCACTCTCCATCCCCTTCACAGCTGCCCTCACTTCCTCTTTATTAACACTTTGCATTTCCTGGATCACCAACCGTCATCCATCACTCCTCCCCCACCTCTCTCTCATTTTTCTTCATTCTCCTCAAAGTACCCCATCCAACCTCTTCAACACACCACCTTCACTCGCAGGCACATTTCCACCTCTATCCTCAATCCAAACCTGTTGCACATCCTTTCCTCATCGATGTAAGTCCTTTTTTTCTCTCCTTACTGAGACGATCCAACCGTTTAATGAATGAATGAAAAGACAGCATCCTTCAGAGCAGAAGTACAAGACACTGCAGGTGAAAATGACCAAGAAATCACTGAGAAAAAGCGCTTACCCGCTTACCCTGCGATGACTGTGGACAGGGCACCGTGGGAATAAAACTCTGGCGCTGCTGAGCGAGTGAAGCACGGAGCTACATCCTCACACATGAAAAAAGGAAACACACAAATGTAGCACAAAAACGAACTCCGTGCTCCTATGATTTCCTCTCTCAGATATACCGCTGTCGTCTTCAGTGAGCCCGGGGCAGTGAAGCCCCGCCCTCTATAAACGTTGCCATCCATCGACCAATCAAGTCATTCTTAACTAATTCGACTGAGTTTTTATTTCTTTTTTCCTCTTTTTTTCCTCCGCTTTTCTTGATATTCCGGTTATTTGGATATCACAAATTCAATTCATTTTTGTCCAAACTCACTGTTAAGCTTATTTTGTATAACAGATACATGAGCTAAAAGTTTATTTTTTATGATCTTTTTTTCGGTGACGCTGGAGAGGCAACTTTTTACACAGTTTTTACACATCGGGGAAGACAACGCGTGCCCTCGTGTACATCTGATTTATCCATGTGCTTGTATTCCTGTATAGGTGAAAGGGTTAACTGTTGTTATTAACGAGGAAGAGTTCAGGTTGCCTTTGTCAGTGTTGTTTGGGCATCAAGCGGAATGGTCGGGACTGACGTGATCTATTACGATTCAGCTGTTTTCAAGGGCACTAGGAAAACATCCACACTCACAATGTTTGTCTAATGTGCGTGAGACAAATAACAGATCTGGCTGATCAAACCGGTGTTCTGACAACCTTCTACTTTGGCAAAACCTACCGTAAGTAGTTTATGCACATTTCTGCAGTCACAGAGGAATTCCAGCACAAATATAAGTAGGTATGACGGTTTGCCACTTAACGTTGCCCATCAGAGTATGCTTGAAGCTTATATTCTTAAAGCCAGGGTGGTTTGCCACTTAATTTTACCCGTTAAAGTATGCTTGTAGGTAACATTCACAAAGGTAGCATGGTTTGACACTTAATTTTAGCTGTTAAAGTGTGTTTCTAGCTCATATTCACAAAGGTAGGACAATTTGCCACTAAATTTTAGCTGTTAAAGTATGCTTGTAGGTCACATTGACAAAGGTAGGATGGTTTGGCACTGAATTAATTTCATGAATTAATTTCAGAAACAACGGGTAGGATGGATTCCCAGAACACCAGCCGTTCAAATGCCAGTTTCCATCGTAATTGGGAAACAGTATGTGTAGTGATGGTGGCCCCTAGAGACAAAGCACATACAAACTTCAAAACACAGCTACCTAGATCATTTAAATTACACAATTGAAAGCATACTTGTATGGTTTGTGTATTTATACACAAGCACTCATATATATTCAAATAATTTTTAAAAAAAATGTTCATTTACCTGTTACTACCACACACCAAAATCTGGTCTTTGGTACTTGCTGGCTTGTGTAGCCACTAGGTAGCAAAAGCTCAACACTGCACCCAGCATCCTGGAGCACTTCTGTTGTGTTTTGTACGTGTTTTGGAGTTTGTACGTGCTTCAGGGTTTGTACGTGTTTTGGAGTTTGTACGTGCTTTGTCTCTAGGGGCCACCATAAATATACTTTTATTTATTCACTCCACATAAAATGTAATAAGTAAGTCATATCTCAAAAACGAACTATTCACAGTTCAACTTTTAACTATTTCAATTTTCAGCTTCTTCCTTTTAAACAAATTTAAGAGCCATTTCGTTCACGACTTACACATCACTAATGTGAAGTTAACTGGCTGTAACCGGTTTCAATTCCTTTTCCCCTTATTTTTCAGGTACTTTGGGTTTTTAATCAAACTTATTCTTCGATGTTTTTTGTTTGATTTTATTTACTATCTTTTTTTTTTATTTAGTCTCTAGTGTTAGACAATTTTGCAGTTTTGAATTTCTTGTTTGTGTTTTTAGTTTACTTTACTCTTAGGTTTTGATTTGTTTTTGCTCTGTTAAATTCCCTTAAGCTGTACTAACAATGAGACTGTGTCGTGTTTGGAAATACGGCTCCAAAGTATAGTTGGAAACACCCAGGTCACGTGATTGTGGTTAATTGCGGTTTTGGTGCACTCCACCACAAATTCGCCAGGTGGCCTCGCTTACCTGCTGCTTCCAAGCAGGTGAGGCGCCTGCAGGATTAACATCTTGGCTGATACTTGTTGCTACTGAATGGATGTTTTTGATGCTTCTATTTATAACAAGCGGCAACACGCCCGGATTTAATCGCGACAGTCTATTTTACACTGACCAACAGCTTTTCAACCTCACACATTCAGAGGTTGTTCAAGTAGGATAAAGAAACTTCATTATTGTTATTATTATTAGTAGTAGTAGTATATTACTGCTCTGGAAGCCATATCTGGTGACATGGGCATGATTTATTCAGATTGAACCTGCATGTATGAGATTTCACGTTACAACAGTTGGAATAATAAAAAAATATAATAATATTAATATTTTCTTGAGAGTTAGTACGAAGTAGACCATGTGCAATTAATGGATTTTTTTCTTGCTTTTTTGCAGGATGAATCGTCCTTCAGTTTCTGACTGAGCCGTATGTGGAGGAAACTCAAACATTAAGTGCAGCTGGCTGAAGCAGAATCAGCATGGACTTAGTTTCCTGTTAGAGGATCCAACACGAGGATCGGGGTCAGGAGAAGGGATGTCAGGGTTAAATAGTTTATTCTTCATAGAAATGATGCTGGACATGGGGTGTATATGCATGGGGTGTGTGTGTGTGGTAGAAGAAAATGTCCAGTGTACGGTAAGCCGCAGAGTCAGCAATTAAATCGGAGCTGGAAAGGCAACAGGTCTTGTGACTGTAATTAACTTCTTCACCACCAGGTGGTACTGCTGGGTTTCCCAACACACTTTATAGAGCATTTTCTATTGAAAGTAGGAACAATAGAGAAAAATAGAACTGAGAAATGTCTGCCTCTTTTATTGTGACATTGAAAGTTTCTTTTCAGATCGTTTAATAAATTTACAGCACAGAGCACATCTCTCTCTCTCTCTCCGTGCCAATATTTATTTAATGACACTCTGGGTTTCAGGGATTGAACAGTCTGTATTGATCTTTACAATCCACAGCAAAAACAATAATGAGATCAGATATTGTTTTATTCCTTACATGTGTGTGCGGCGTTAAACCCCCCCCCCAAAAAAAAAAAAAAAAAACCTCTGGTTCATAAAAGAAAAGGTTATTCCCCGTGCCTCGCCTGCCTGGAAGCAGCAGGTACACCACATGTTGAAACTTGAGTGAAGTCCCAATACCGCAATTAGCCATGCTTACATGACGTGTGTTTCGACCCGACCACACCTTGGAGCAGTGTTTCCAAACATCTGAGCTTAGAAAGCTCAACACAGTGTGGAAATGTCATTACTGAGCGCCCCACCCAAACTCAGCTCAATAGTGAAGCTAGTGCTTCATTACAAGCTCTTGTAATGCTCTCTTGTATCAAATCCTGCCTCTGCTACACTGACTGTAGTCTATCTATCTATCTATCTATCTATCTATCTATCTATCTATCTATCTATCTATCTATCTATCTATCTATCTATCTATCTATCTATCTATCTATCTAGATATAGATATAATATAGATGTTATAAACATTGTTTATTTGAAGCTGAAATTGAGGTTGTATCCGTCTCAGAGTTTCCATCAGTACAAACAGAAAGCATCTATTCATGGTCTAGTTTGTCATGCATACAGACACCAACAGGAATTTTGCTTCAGCAATTACACAACAGCTTCAAAGCAAATTGGTGACAGCAGCGCTTACAGTACACATGACTGCAGCCTCCTCAGGCACTAGTATAAGGGACTGGCGACTCCTCAAGTATCTATGTTGTGTTTCAAGTGTGTGACCTTCACTGTCTGTGTGTGTAAAAATTGCTCCATGCTGTGAATGTAAGAACCCCAACATGAAATATAAGATGAGATATTGTCATCACTCTGAGTTTGTTGGAACACCTTTTACCCTCCTCTCTGTGCCTTCAGTCATTTGCTGGGGAATCCAGAGACACGACAAAGAGTCAGGTACTGGTTTTAGTTTTACTGCCATGTTAGATGCAGGTTTGCGATGGTGGGGTCACGGTCTGGTATCAGGTATTGAGCTGGAGGTCAGCTGAGTTTTCTTAGTGAACCACTTGTTGTAGTCAAATGTTGTGAACATTAATAAAAATCTTGTCGGTGTGATTCTTGACTTTTTAGTTAACAGGACCCAAAGAGTCCAGCTAAATAGGGTCCTGTCCAACCAGGTCTGCTCCTCGACAGGGATTTGTGCACTCACCCTTATCATTTATCCTATATACAAATGTATACAAATATATGTTAGAGTAAGTTTGAAAATAGGGCCATTTTAAAGTATGCAGACAACTTTCAGGCTGCTCCAGGAAAATAGATCCAGCCACGGCCCAGTGCTTGCTGAGTTTGTCAAATGCCGTGATTAGTCCTGCATTCAGTTGAGCAACACTAAGTGTAAGACTAAAGACATGATCATTAATAAAAAAAAACAACAAGCAAAAAAACAACAAGCATACACCCAAAGTCACTTTTATTGAAATTCAGATTGTGGCGTGTGTTCAGTGTCATAAATATCCTTGAACAGTTATTGATTCAAAGCTTCATTTTAAAGCAAACTGAAAACAAGAAGCGCTCTCATGTTTGAGAAGGCTTTCTTGTTTCTACGTTGATAAAACCACAATGATTTTATTTATATCTACTCTTCATTGGATCTGCTTTATGTTTTTCTTTGGTGGCTTAAGAGGCTGATAAAGTGCGTAACAATTTGTCAGCTGCTCGGATCCAGTTTTACTGCTGTGTTCACTGGTACAGTGGAGTTATTGACCTTTAACTAAAACTGAAAGAAGAGATGAAACATAAACAAAGACATGAGCGGTCATTTACCACTAATGCCTCACCTCACTGATAGGAGAAGTGCTGAGTATATGTTATCTTATGTTCTTATGCTTGAAAGTAAAGCCAACTGAATACAAATCTACTGAGAGGGGAAGCGACAAGAGTTTGCATTTGATTCTCGAGTAGGCTTTGTTGTGTTCCTTTTTCATTTAAACAATGCACCTGTTATTTTATGTGCATGGTTTATTTATTTATCCATAAAATGTCTTTAAGTGTAGGTAGTAAAGTAGCAGGTCCAAAAAAATGGCATCTCTGTTTTACTGTAATGTAAATGTTTAGTCACAGTCTGTAAAGCAGGGTGTGACTGGAATGAGCAGTTTGGACACTTTGTGTTTGTCACGTGTCTGAATAGACAGGTTTAACAGTGAGCTGAAGCGTCTTCTTTATCTGAAATATTCAGGCGGTTGTTTGTTCTTTCAGCTTATTAAATCAAAGTGGACACATTGCGGGTCACTCTCCTACTAACAAGTAAGTAGACTTTAAAACATCCTGTGTGAACGTGTGTGCTTTTGTTGTTTACTTTTTGATGCAGGCGCCTTTTAAAAAAAGACCGTATGGTATGTGGGCAAACCATGATCAGTTTCAAGCAGCGTCACAAAAGCAAATAGCTACCATGACAGAAGAAGCAGGACAGAGACAGGAAAGCAGCTTTTAGTTTGCTCATGTGATGCAAAACAAGAAACACTACAAGAAAACAGTGGCACAGTGGTGTCTACAGTGCTACTAATGCTTAGGCTATAATAATAACAATAATAATAATAATAATAATAAAAGTATCTCTATTACTATTATTGCGTGACTATTTGACAAGCTGTAAAAGACACCAAGAGATTAATAATAACTAATAATTAAATGCAGGAGGTGTATAAACACAGTGAGCAAAACAGAGGTGACTGAAGAAGAAACATGCAATGCATCATGGGAATCCCACGGCAGCCTAGGCCTACTGCTCCATAACTAAGAGAGGATTCAGGGTCACCTTATCCTGTCCGGTCTGATGAGCTAAACTTGTTTTTCGTTTCTTTTTTCCTTTTACAGGTCATTGTAATACAGGTGCATTACAGTGTCACTTTAGCCCACCCAGTAAAGTCAACAGGAAAACTTTACATGCTCTTCCGTGTTCGTAGAGAGGAGCTCATGGTTCGTAGAGACAGCTGCCAGAGACAGAGAAACGCAAGAACAGGTAGAAAACTAAGCCTAAAAACATCTAAACATGTTATTGGAGTAATACTGAAAACACACTTCACTCTGATGTCAACAGACCATTTTAAATCTCGTAGCTGAAACATGCACAGAATTATGATCATGGTTTGGATCATAGACGTACATTAATTCATGTGCCGGTGAGCTGCACAGAAACGGTGTCTGTGTACACTCTGTGTGGGGAAATCACTCAGTGGTTTTTAAGCTGGTGAAAAATGTGAAATATTTCACTTTTATTTCTATTGTCTTTTTTAAAAAAAAGATATTTATTAAAACGTTCTTCCTCTGATTCATTCTGACAGAGAGAAGATGATCAGGATCCTTCTGTTTCTCGGCCTGGCGTCCTCTGTCTGTGAGTGTCCACATTTAGACACAGTTATCTTTTGGTAAATTCAAATAAATAAATAAATAAAAAAGGATAAATGAACACACAATAATGAGGTGGTGTCTTCTCAACAGGGACGTTTGTTTTGAAAAGGACTGCGACTGTCTTTGAGGCCAAGGAGGACGACAACATCACCATCAGATTGGACAGTCAGCTCCAAGCTGACGTGTCTCTGGCTGACGTGATGTGTGTTTTCCACTCAGACGTCACTAAGATTTTGTTTAAAATGATCAGAGGAGTGGAGGACTCTGAGTCTCAGCATGAGCAGTTTGCAGGACGAGTTCAGACTGACAGAGATGCTCTGAGAGGAGGACGAATCAGACTTCATCTGTCCAGAGTCACAGCTGAAGACTCTGGAAGCTACAGGTGTGACGTGGCTGCCGACTACGACGACAGCCTGAAGATATGGAGGCTCGAGACAAATGGTAAGTTGACTCCTGTATCTCTTTAGGACTGGGCTGTATTTATATTGCAGATGAACAAACATTAATTCAGATTTTCATCCTCAGAAAATTTTGTTTTGAGTGTGGGTCGAACCTCTGATGGAAACAGCACTTATGTCTTACTCAGACCTCTGATATTTGGACTACCAAAAGGTAAATCACCAATCTTTATCCACAGTTCTGAGTACCCTTTTTAACACATCACACTTTAGTCGTCTAAAAGGTTTGGTGTTCATAATTTCCAGTGAATTGTGGAATTATTCTGTCAGGGGCTGGGTCTGTGACCCAGCAATTTGAGTGCTTTATTATAAATATATGTGTAGTTCTGTAGGTTTTAGATGAGTGTATTCTAGTTTAGGTCCATCTAGGTCCTCTTCTGTAAGTCTGTTCTGGTCTTCTCTAGGTAGTTCGTCATGTATTTGTTGTCTGCCTATTTCATGTTGTCTGGTTTGTGATGTCATGCCAGCGTCTCTGTGTTTCCTGTTGTATTTTGGAAGTCTAGTGTTCCCTTGTTCAGTGTGCTTAGTTTTATAGTTCCCCTGTGGTGTCATTATGTTCATTAGTGTCAGCTGTTTCCCCATGTGTTTCCACTTCCTCTGATCATCCCTTGTGTGTGTTTAGCCTGTCTTTGTCAGAACGTCTGTGTTACCACGCCGAGTCATAGAAATCATAGTCTCTATAGTTGTCTCTATGTTTCGTCACAGTTGTCTTTTAGTTTTCCCAGTATGGGTTCCAGTTTAGTTGTTGCTCCTGTTTTTGCCTTTGTTCATGTTTACCAGCCTAAATAAAACAGCTCGCTTTTGGATCAAGTCTCCGCTCCGTCTTCTTCTCTGTCTGGATTTGGGTCCACTGCTTCACTACCCCGCCGTGACATATTTAAGTTAAAATTGTCTGAACTTCATCACATTTGTGATAGCTGCCATGCAATCAAACAAGCATGTAATGAACACAGGGCGACATCTCATGGGAAATACATGTTATAGATATATAATTTTAAATAACATGATGTACATTTTGCAATCATTTATCGTTTGGGGCAGAATTTCTTATTCATAATCAAGTTTTTCATGCTTTATTAATCAAAACAAAGAATAACAACTTACTTTTTTCAGTGAATAGATGCATGTCATTTTGATTGATGTATTTGGTTTTGTCTTTTTATTACATCTACTTTTGAACCTAGTTTTTTTTTATTATTATTATTTCTGTTTCTATTGTTTAAGTTTTCCTGTTTCTACCTTTGTTTTATCTGTACAGGTTTTGCGTCTCTGCACATGATTGCGAGGAAAATAAAGGTGGACGACAAAAATAAAGTTTTGATTGCAGGTGATACTGAAGTTAATTCAGGACTTCCTTTGAAAGACGGTGGTGGGTTTACTCATTGATCAACTGCAAAAAGATTTGCCAACTGTGACATCACAGAGCTTTCTTGCTGCACAACAAGCCCAATTCTTACCCTTAAAGTCTAAATACAATGTTTAGTTTCCAGATTTGTTCCTTTTTGTGTTTCACAATTGGCTGATTTCTGTGCCTGTACTGTTACGTCCCTTTTGTTGGCTTTGATAAAATTGTTTATTTTATGGTCTGTTTTCTCCACGCAGGTCCAAAGGCAGCAGAAGAAAGGGCATGTCATGAAATAATCTCATTATTTGTTCTAATGGCATTTTTAAATGTGGCAACTGCAGGAGTTGTAGTACTTTTCATAAGAGGTCTTTGTAACCTGTTACGATGGTAAGGTACACTGGCAAACTTTGGATAGAAATGGTTGACTCATTTGTCCTCGTTTGATTTAGTCTGACTGTCCTGTTTATTGTTACAGTTCAACACCACATGGAAACGTCCACACTGTAATAAAACGACTTAAATCAACAGTGACTTCCCTGCCTGTTAATGTTGTGAATTTAATTTAATTAAATTCTACTGCTGTGCTTAAAAAATAAATACAAAAATAAAAAATATAAGTAAAAGAAAAGGAATCTTTGCACCTGTAAGATTTCCTTCAAATGAGGAAAAAACAGAAAAGTCATATGTGATGTCACAACACTGATTCTTAGCTCTAAGTCAAACAAATTATTTTAGAAAAAAACATAATAGACCCAGTGAGTTATGGTGTCCATTTCCCAAATACATTACATACTTTTTTTTTTCTTTAAAATATATGTAAGTAAAGCAGATCATGGAGTCAGCAGTTTCAAATTATACTGCATGCACTCTTTTGTCACTGACTTTGCAGTACTTTAAAAGGATCCCAGAACAGAAACACTGATCTTAACCACCCCAGCGCTGCAATTGCACTATAATTTTAGGCTGGGTTGTTGAGTAGTATTATCTTTTTGTAATTGTTGATTTTGAGAATAAGATCTACATTGAAAGAAGGACATGTAAATATTATTTTACTTGTGTTATTTTCCCTTCTGAACAGACACAGTTTGTTGAACAATATGTTTAAAATCCAACAACACTACATCAGATGTGACACTCAGATACCCGTTGGATGCTGGGACAGGAAACCATTTTTTAAGATCCCCAGAAAACACAAAGTATCTCTTTGAGGTCCAACCCTACCTTCATTGTTCATTCTTATTTTGTCATGCCTGGCAATGCCAATAAACTTGCCAATGCTTCAGGATTCACTGTCACATAACAAACAGGTGGCAACAGTACCCACAGTACACATGTCCAGAAACCAGTATGACAGGACTCCAAGGCCTGTGGTGCAGGGCTGTGTCCAACTTTTTATGAGCAAGATTCTGTTTGTGGACTGTGCAATTATAAACCTACAGAGAATGATAACACAAGGTCAACAACGGGGCTCATCTAAGTCCATGTTATTCTTGAAATTTAGATTGTATTCTCTGAATGAACAATTAAAAAAACATAATACTAAATAACAGACACTCCATTTTCTTCATAAATAATCATTTTAAATGTAAGAAACTTAAACTTAGCTTTTAAACAGCCCTGCTAAGATTGGCAACCCGTCCAGGGTTTACCTTGCCTCACCACAGGCTTACCCATATAGTCATTTGATTTTGGGGTTGTTTGGGTTTTCTTTGTATTTTTGTAGGTTCTTTACCTTACAATATAAAGCACCTTGTTGCTCGTATTTGGTGCTATATAAATAAAACTGAATTACACTGAATAGGGCCTATCCAAGCTACCCTCATGACCCTGGTATGGACAAGTGGAAGAGAATGAAGTTCTAAAACATGAAATGTAACAACATAAAAATATCTCCCTCCTGCCCTAAGACAATAAATCAATAAACTGGGCCATTTTCCAGTTGAATGGAAAATAAATTCAGTCATTACATTGAATAAAAGAATTCTCAATATCCATATAAAGGAACAAAGAACAATTCAAGATAGAAACAAAACAAAATGGCATAATAGCTATAATTAAAATTTAATAAACATGTATCTATCTTGTTTATTAAAGAAGAGCATCTATTTGACAAGAATACTGATGCTGTAGTTGGAAATGAATCATATATAAGTCTCTATTCCACCAAACTGCTTCCTGGATTTCAATTAACATTAAGTGATTGATTTCTGTATGACTTTATCAGTATCTCACATTGTTGGATTTAACCTAATCTTTTTTGCACTGCTGCTTCAGTTCATTGAGGTTTGCTGACATTTGTGTATGTACAGCTTGCTTGAGGTCCCGCTACACAGTCGAGGTCTTGTCTGATTGGGCCACTGCAGCCTCTTGATTCATTGCTGGTGTGTTTGGGATCATCACCCTGTTTAAGCCAAGTTTTAGCTTTTGGACAGATGGCTTTACATTTGGCTGTAGAATACTTTGTTACACAGGAGAGTGCATGGCTGATTCAGTGACTACATTGTGCACAGATTCAGTGGCTGAACAACAAGCCCAAATCATTCCCTTTCACCACCGCACAGGCAGTTGGTATGATTTGTTTGTGTTGGTTTGGTTTTCTCTGAACATGGGGCTATCAGTTGCGGAGAAATATCCCCACTTTGGTCTTATTTGTCCAAAAAGCATTGTTCATGTGTTTTGTCCAACTTTGCAAACCTAGCTGTGTGGCTGTGTTCTTTTTAGAGATGGGAGGCTTTCTCCTGGAAATCCTTCCAACCATCCACACAGTTTCTCAGGGCATTGCATGATCTGACTCTTGGGAAAATTGTCTTGATGGACCTGTGTGGTCCTCCTCATGTGGGTCCAGTTAGGTTTTTGTTGTGTGATTTTTTTTCTGCCTTATGTTATGTTTACATTAACACCAGTGCATTTGGGTTTTTTGTCTTGCTTTCCGAGCCTCACATTTGGATCCCACTCTGCCTGCTACACAGCGGAGCCTCGACGATAAGTGTATGACAGTGAGTGCTCAATACTTCTAAAGATGATCAAAAGAAAAAGACAAAAGACATAGAGAGGAGGGAAAATGTCTTTTCACAAAATTAGATTTTATTTATTTCAAAGTGATGTCATTAAATATAAAGTGGTACAGCAGCTGATACAAAAGAAAAAGTCATGAGACCATAATACATAGTCAAAATGCTGGGTTTGCCTATGTAGGTACTCAGTTAATTGTAGTCTAACGACGATACCTGTTTCTAGACTTAACTCTGTATTATTAATGTTTACGTTGGTGAAACACTGCAGTTTATGGTCACAGTGTTCAGGTTAAAATCCAATGTGATTGTGTGTTTGTTGAAGTGATTCAGAATATGATTTTTTCAACCTTATTAACATCAACCTCATATCCTCATGCTGATTTCTGGAAATTCAGAGCTAACATATTACATTTAGACACCAATTCTGCCTGATGTTTTGTTTTTGTTTTGTTTTTTTAATGTTGATTCTGATGTTTCCAGGCTTCTGGTATTAAGAGTTAAAATAAATAAAGAAGCCATTTTTAAAGTGAGTTGAGTTCATTTCAGGACATGTTTGAGCAGTGTGTGGTTCTTCTTTAATAACTCAGTGTTGCAGTCACATGTTAACAAGTGAAAGAAAAGAAAGATTGTTTACGCATTTGCTTCTTTTGTCACTTTAACCCCCGATGTCCTTACTCTTGTTTTTGCAGACATTTGGAGTAATAAATTATATAAATATAAATCATTATGTGAAAATAATTTCCTTACAAAGTTTTTAAACAGTTTTTGGATCCAAAAACACTTTATTAGCCTGTGATGATCCAAATAAACCTCCTAAAATAACAAGTGAGACTCTGACACTTAAATAAAGTGCGCAACAGCTTGTCAGCTGATCTGATCCAGCTTTTACTGACATGAGTCATTGTGCTTTAAGTCAAAATGAAAGTGAAACTAAAACACACACGGCAACAAACAAGAAGAAAAAAAACCCAACAGAAGAATGCTGACTGGCCAGTATATCATGATATCACTGATAGGAGGAGGAGTCTTGTACATAAGTTATGTTGTGTTATTATAGAACTGAAGCAAAACGCAGTATCGACGCGTTGAAGCGAATAAAAAGCTACCAACGGGAAGAAGAGGAGACAACAGAAGTATGAACTTGATCTTTTAGTATGTTTTGCTGTGTTTCTGTGTCATTCTTCCTTGTTTTGTACTGCAGTTGATATTTATTTATCATTATTACGTTTTTATCTCTTTCTTAAAATGCCTTTGTAAAGTAGCAGGACTAAAATGTTACATGTCCGATAATGAACACGTTTGATCACAGTCTGTAAAGAGGATGTGACTGGGATTAACAGTTTGAACACTTCGTGGTATTCTGCTTCATCCGAAACATTCAGAGTGTTGTTTGTTCTTCCAGCTGATCATCAGTTGATATAATTGATGTGATAGAAAGTGGACAGATCGCCGATCGCTCTCTTACAAACAAGTAAGACGTTAAAACATCCTGTGTGAACGTGTGTGCTCCTGTTGTTTACTTTCTGTTGCACTCACTGTTTAAATAAGCTACGTGGGCTCATTTTCATCAGATTGGAAACAGGATGAAAAACAAAACAAAACAAATATCTCACAGAAAAAGGACAGAGAAAGACAAACAGCTTTTAGTTGGTTCATGTGATACAAAACATGAAAACCCAAAGGGGGTTTTATGAAAGTGCGCAACATGAAGTAAACAGCGGCATAGCGGTGTTTACAGTGTCAATAAGAGTTTATAATAATAATAATAATAATAATAATAATAATAATAATAATAATAATAATAATAATGATTTTGTTGTTGTTGTTGTTGTCAAAAACACGAGGCTTGTGGCTTTTCCTATAAAACAGAAAACTGAATGTTTATGTGCAAAACAAAAGACACGCACCAGATAGGAAGATGCAACGCGCGTTCGCGTACATATAAAAGGCACTGTTTTTGTCCGCTAGAGTGGGATTTTCACGGCATATTCTGCACCAAATCTCTGTGCATTCATCATTTGCCTCCTGCAACCACTTTTCCGAGAATACGCGCTTCTTTTGCGGTTTGGAATCCTTCTGACATTTCTTTGGAGGTCGAGGAACTCCAGAGTAACTACTTAAAGGAGCTTCTTCGACATCTTTAGGAGTTCTAAAAAAATGTCTGCCCTCCTCCAGAAAATCTTATGCACGCAAACACGCGTTGCAACTTCTTATCTGGTGCGCGTCTTTTATTTTGACAGCTAATGCGCACCTGCGGATATGTGCACCCCTGGATATAGAAAACTATATTAACCATTTAACAATCCATCCATCCATTCGCTTCCGCTTATCCTTTTCAGGGTCGCGGGGGTGCTGGAGCCTATCCCAGCTGTCATAGGGCGAGAGGCGGGGTACACCCTGGACAGGTCGCCAGTCTGTCGCAGGGCCAACACACAGGGACAGACAACCATTCGCACTCACATTCACTCGCACATTCACACCATTCACACCTAGTGGCAATTTGGATTTTCCAATTAACCTATCCCCACAAGCTGCATGTCTTTGGACGGTGGGAGGAAGCCGGAGTACCCGGAGGGAACCCACGCAAACACGGGGAGAACATGCAAACTCCACACAGAAAGACCCCGGCCTGATGGTGGATTTGAATTCAGGACCTTCTTGCTGTGCGGCAACAGTGCTAACCACCGTGCCACCGTGCTGCCAAACCATTTAACAAATTGTTAAAAAAAATTCAACAAAATAAATCAAAATAAATCTGAATCTGTCTAAAAAGTTCATTAAATATATTTTTGTGAAATTTCAAGAAGGAGATTTCAACCGACAGTGAGCACGTGACCTTGATTGTCCCTTTGAGGCCTTCTGAATTTACTTCATTTAATTTTCTGGTGAGCACCGATCGTTGTTGCCTAATGTTCAGTTTTGTTGTCTGTGAGGTGTGATGAAATGAAAATCAATAACACTGATATTTTTTCTTTTTAAATTTCACAGGTCACTAAGTGTAATGCACCCAGTAAAGTCAACAGGAAAACTTTACATGCTCTTCCGTGTTCGTAGAGAGGAGCTCATGGTTCGTAGAGACAGCTGCCAGAGACGGAGAAACGCAAGAACAGGTAGAAAACTAAGCCTAAAAACATCTAAACATGTTATTGGAGTAATACTGAAAACACACTTCACTCTGATGTCAACAGACCATTTTAAATCTCGTAGCTGAAACATGCACAGAATTATGATCATGGTTTGGATCATAGACGTACATTAATTCATGTGCTGGTGAGCTGCACAGAAACGGTGTCTGTGTACACTCTGTGTGGGGAAATCACTCAGTGGTTTTTAAGCTGGTGAAAAATGTGAAATATTTCACTTTTATTTCTATTGTCTTTTTTAAAAAAAAGATATTTATTAAAACGTTCTTCCTCTGATTCATTCTGACAGAGAGAAGATGATCAGGATCCTTCTGTTTCTCGGCCTGGCGTCCTCTGTCTGTGAGTGTCCACATTTAGACACAGTTATCTTTTGGTAAATTCAAATAAATAAATAAATAAAAAGGATAAATGAACACACAATAATGAGGTGGTGTCTTCTCAACAGGGACGTTTGTTTTGAAAAGGACTGCGACTGTCTTTGAGGCCAAGGAGGACGACAACATCACCATCAGATTGGACAGTCAGCTCCAAGCTGACGTGTCTCTGGCTGACGTGATGTGTGTTTTCCACTCAGACGTCACTAAGATTTTGTTTAAAATGATCAGAGGAGTGGAGGACTCTGAGTCTCAGCATGAGCAGTTTGCAGGACGAGTTCAGACTGACAGAGACGCTCTGAGAGGAGGACGAATCAGACTTCATCTGTCCAGAGTCACAGCTGAAGACTCTGGAAGCTACAGGTGTGACGTGGCTGCCGACTACGACGACAGCCTGAAGAGATGGAGGCTCGAGACAAATGGTAAGTTGACTCCTGTATCTCTTTACGACTGGGCTGTATTTATATTGCAGATGAACAAACATTCAGATTTTCATCCTCAGAAAACTTTGATTTGAGTGTGGGTCGAACTTCTGATGGAGACAGCAGTGATGTCTCACTCAAACCTCCAATGTTTGGACCACCAGAAGGTAAATCAGATCTGAGGAGCTGCATTCAGAGAGTGTTTCAATAAATTTTATTTTTATTCGTCTAAAAAGTTCAGTGTCATAAATTTATAGTAAATTGTGGAATTATTTAATTTAAAAATGTCTAGTCTTCATTACGGTTGTGATAACCTCCACAATGATTTGCACTGACAGGAAAAGTTATAGAAAAAACTATAGAAATGTAATAAAGATAAAACTTAAAGTAACATTCAAATATTTATTTTGGTGTGGAACATTTCTCATCCATAAAGAAGATGGTCAAAAATATTTTTGTAAAACACATCAATTAAAACAATAACTTCCATTTTTCACTGAATAAATCAATATGTCACAATTTAGTTTTCTCTTTTCAGGTTTTGCGTCTCTGTACATGAATGTGAGGAAAATAAAGGTGGACAAAATGAAGATTTCGAGTGCAGGTGATGCTGAAGGTAATTCAGGAAAATGATGCAGGGGGGGTTTGGGGCACATACAGTACAAGCCATGCATGTGTTACAGAAAGTAGAGGTTACAGCATGCAGGGTGAGAACTCATTACTGTATGTACTGTTTTCAAAAACAATCCTTTGTTTTCTAGATCCACAACTGGCGGGAAGAAAGAAAAGTCAGGAGGAAACGGTGCTGTTTGTTCTGGCTGTAGTTTTAATTATTGCAAATGCAGGAACCATCGTACTTTCAATAAAATTTCTTCATGATGGTTTAAAACGGTACGTTGGCAAACTTTTATTGCATCTACATGTTTGACTATGTCTGCATTTGATTTTGCCTGACTGTGGTGTTGTGTGTTGTGTATTACAGATCAACAACATGATGAAACACCGCTACTGTGTCCCTGACCAAATGAGTCAAACCAACAACGACTTTCTTACCTGCTCCAGTTGTGCTAATGTTAAAAACAAACTAACAAATAAACAACAGCAAAAAAAAGCTCACTATAAGAAAATTACACTTAGAAGATGAAAAAAGACCAAAAAAAAAATCAGATGTTAAAATGCTGATTCTTTGCTTTCGAAAATCTTTTTCAGTATTTGTGTCTTTTCTAAATTGAGCCTTTGAACTAAGAGTTGATAGAAATGATATTTCAGAAGCAAATAATTCTACATTTAGTGATTTAGGGTTTAATTTCCTCATATATAATGCATATGCAGTATGATGTATTTTTCTCACTTAAAAATACTCAAATGAAGATCAGTGTATATCATGGGGATAACAGCTGTGGGGTTTAAGGAAGAAAGAACAGATGTAATTTTCTGTACCATCACTTCAAAGTCCTTCTTCTCTGTACCTATTACCACATTGTGTTCATATGCAGAGAGAAATAACTTACTTGTTATCAAAAGGAGGCAGCACGGTGGCACGGTGTTTAGCACTGTTGCCTCACAGCAAGAAGGTCCTGAGTTCAATTCCAACATCAGGCCGGGGTCTTTCTGTGTGGAGTTTGCATGTTCTCCCCGTGTTTGCGTGGGTTCTCTCCGGGTACTCCGGCTTCCTCCCACCGTCCAAAGACATGCAGCTTGTGGGGATAGGTTAATTGGATAATCCAAATTGCCACTAGGTGTGAATGTGAGTGCGAAGGGTTGTCTGTCCTTGTGTGTTAGCCCTGCGGCAGACTGGCGACCTGTCCAGGGTGTACCCTGCCTCTCGCCCTATGACAGCTGGGATAGGCTCCAGCGCCCCCCGCGACCCTGAAAAGGATAAGCGGTAGCGAATGGATGGATGGATGGTTATCAAAAGGGAATTTGATATATAGTTTCATCAGTTAAATTGCACAAAGCATATTGTACAGGGTACAGCGGCCATGAACGGCACTAATGCTAACTTTATTTGAAACATCTTGTCTGTAGATATTTTGATTCTGTTCTTGAAATAATATTTTGACTTTTAAAAATGTTGTCTTATTCTCAAAATGAAAAACGTAAAAAAGAAAAGTTGTCAGTCAAGTCCCCACAGTGCTGCGTGGTAGACTGCTGCAACAGCTGCCAGCACAAGTGTTCTTAAGCTTCCTGTTTTTCTGGTTCTTTTTGTCACACTCTTGGCAGTCAAGACTCTTTGCTAGATCATCACTCTGGCAGTGCATATCCTGTTTGCTTTGAAGTGAACACAACATGGTTTCAGAGCTGAAGCTAACTGGAGAACTAAGCAGCTATCAGAGATCAATGATATGAACAAAACTGGGGAACAGAATCCGCATTGCAGTTTGATGTGAATCATGGACAAGGCACTGCACCCACACTTCCTGGACTATGGTGTGAACAATTTTTTGAGTGGACAGAGACATTAATCTGAGAGGCAAGAAGAAAGGTGGAGGGATTCTACGGTTTCTCAATATAAAGAGCTTTAATAATTTGGCATTTATAACACAATGATTTCCCTGCTTTTGGGTTAAATAAAGCATATTTTATCTCACCTTATTTTTTATTCGGTGAATAAACTCAAAGACAGGAAGCAGCATTAACTGTTAATAATGATTACAGTTTAAAAACCAAGTGCAGTCAAAAGGAAGCATGCGTGTGAGCTGTGAAAGACCTTTTCCAAGTGGGACTTCACTGTATAAGAGTATCATATGGTCATACTGATGCATAAACAGAAAATAAATCCTTGTATCTCCTACTATTAAGTAAACATAACAAGATTGTAATATTTTTCCTTAGTTTACAACATTAGTGTCTAATTTCTAAAGAAATAAAGCACCTCTTATTGTTATATTGTTGCCCCAAGTAAAATAAAGTATTTTTTTTACAGAGAGCATTGACTTGCTCTTGCTTTAGTGTACAGGTTGTGCACCAAAAGCACACAGTATTGTTCTTAAATGGGTCTTAAAGGGGGCATGAAAGCTCCACAGGCTAATTCACACCATTGAGCCATGCTCTAAATAACTGGCACAGATATAACTCGGTCTATGAAGCTAGATTTAAGAAAAGGGTGCTTGAAGTTCAAGTTTTAAAAACAAGTTTAGCACCATATTGTGCTAGTAAAGAACGAGACATCACCAGTTTGGCTCGTTCTTTACTAGCTAATAGACTTACATTAGTTTATGTTAGCTAAATCTTATCCAAAAGATCAGATTAAACACACAGACATACAAAGATGTATTTGCCCTTTTATAGATCTGTATCTGCGCACTGTTTAGTATAGACACACAGATGCTTTTTTTTGTCATGCAGCTCCTGCTTTCGACGCTCGAGTTTAAGTTCAGTGAAGTTTTGCTCTCGTCAATTAAATTTCTTATTTAGCCACAGCAATATATTGCGTTCGCTTCTTAACCTCATAACTTTGAGCCATCCACCTTTGGCAAAATATGTTTTTAGTGTGTGTTTATGTAAGTCTTTTATCAAGTAAAGAATTATTTTTCCTTCTATTGATGAGGATTGCATGCTGTGAGAAATTAGGAGCTGTGAGAAATCAGCAAATGAAATTTAGGAGAAGAGGTTCCAGGGATTAGATCAAATATTGGATTTTCTGATCTGCTACAGAGGTGACAATGATGATGTCTAAATAGTCACATTTTATTAACACATTTTATAGAGAATGTTTTACTTACATGTTTGTACCAAACCTGCACTGATCCATCTGTGCCATTTACCCCCTTATCTTCTTATGCTGAAAGTTGGTATGTCGATGATAGTTGTCGTTTTTTTGTTCTTTGCCCACCTTTGCGTGGTAATGACTGCACAATCTTAGAAAGAAGTCCCAAATAATCAGATGACCCCGGTATGCCTAGAGAATTTGCAACGGTGCAAAGAAAAACCTCCCTTTTAACAGGAAGAGACACCAGTTCAGGGAGGGGCCAACCACGGTGAGGGAAAATAGAAGGAATACCTAACTTTATTTTGTTTTAATCAAATAAAAAATATTTTCACTTAATCTGTACTCTTTTTGTTGCCATATATTCAGTTCCTACATGCCTGTTGTATTTTGTGTTAGAGTACTTGGCGATAGAAGAGCAGATGGAAGAATGATGCAACCTACAACAGCAATGCTCAGTAGCTAGTGGATCTGAGAGCAGAACACAACAACCTCCCTGAACAGGGTCCAGTAACCATCACAGTGGCAGACATCCAAGAAAGGATCTCTAGTATGAAGAGTTGGACAGCACCAGGCCCTGACATGATTCGTGCCTACTGGCTGAAGAAGCTGAATGCACTCCATGAGCATCTGGCAGCACAAATGAACCAGCTGCTAGTTGACAAGAGAATGGATAACTGGAGGCCGGATGGTCCTGATCCTCAAGGACCCCCAGAAGGGACCGGTCCCATCCAACTACCAACCAGTAACCGGCCTCAGTACCACATGGAAGCTCCTGTCACACATCATAGCAGCAAAGATGAACAGGCATATAGGTCAATAAATGAGCAGGGCAGAGAAAGGGATTGGCAAGAATACCAGAGGCCCAAAACACCAGCTACTGGAAGACAGAGCAGTCAGCCAAGACTGCAAGACCAGACTGACCAACCTGTGCACTGCCTGGATTGACTACAAGAAAGCCTATGCCCCACACCTGGATCCTGGAATGCCTAGACCTATACAAGAGCAACAGGACCCTAAGAGCCTTCATCAGGAAATCAATGGGCATGTGGCGGACAACACTAGAGGTCAATTTTAAGTCCATAGCACAAGTCACCATCAAGTGTGGGATCTACCAAGGAGATGCTCTGTCCCCACTGCTGTTCTGCATAGGCCTGAACTCCCTCAGTGAGATCATTGACAAGACAAACTACGGGTACAGACTACAGAATGGAGCAGTTGTCATCCACCTCCTGTACATGGACGACATCAAGCTGTATGCAAAGAGTGAACAAGACATCGATTCACTGATCCACACTACCAGGCTATACAGCAATGACATCGGAATGGGCATAGAGGACAGCTATAAGTATCTGGGGATACATAGGTAAATGGGAACCATGAAGAGGCAGCTAGGAAAGCTGCAACTACCAAGTACCTGCAGAGGGTCAGGCAAGTCCTGAGCAGTCAGCTGAATGGTAAGAACAAGCTCCGGGCTATCAACACCTACGCCCTGCCCGTGATCAAGTACCCTGCTGAGATAATAAGCTGGCCAAAGGAGGAGATAGAGACCCTGAGGCTGTATGCTAAACAGAAGGAAGGAGAAAATGTTGTAACTGGAAACCTGGTTGTATAAATGTTGTATAAATTTGAGACATGAGACTTGATGCAGCCATCCTTTAACTCTGTTTTTTGGGTTTTAATGGAAATAATTATTCATGGATTCAGTTAAAACCGAACAGAATCAGTAACAGAAACATTCTCCTGTTTATTAGAAAAGATTTTGATAGTTTATGGAGCAACACATGAGTGTGGTTAAGTTTGTTTTTAGGAAAAACAAAGAGGTCGTCACTTGAATTTACCTTTGACAGAAAATATTTTCTGATGCTCTGAATTCTTTCAAATGTGAAATATTTTCAGAGGAAATCAAAGTGCAGTTTTTTTCTTCTGGTTGCATATCACCATCTCTCTTTCCTCTCTCTCTGCTTTGCTGGTTTATTGTAAACACCAGATGGGAAAGTCACATCAACACACAAATAGTTTGCTCAACAGGAGTTTTCTACTTTTTTTTTTTCTTTTGCCCAGTGGCACTTTTGAACATCTGGGCTAATGCTAAATCAAACATCATCAGATTTAATGAGGAGGTTGAAGACTGATTCTGGTGTGTGACTGTGACCATCTGCGGAAGAGGTGCAAGTGGGATGGTGGTTCACTGGTGTGTACTGTAAACTCACAGCAAGAAGGTTCTTGTTCCACCTCCTGTTTGTAGTTTTGCTAGTCTTGATTTAAAAATACCAGCGTTATTTCATTTAAGGAGCTGACTTGAGCTGTCCAGTGCACTGCCAAAAATATAATTTAAGATAATATTATTGTATCTCTGAACCATGTACAGTTTTATGACTCAATAACACAGAAAATTCTTTGGCCTGAGGTAAAAAGTCAGATAAGAATGTGAAAGAACTACAAAATGAAGACAGACTGAAGAAGAAAGAAGAAAAGGGAATGTTTTTGTTTTTTTTACTGGTGAGCTTATTGCACCATCATCTGTCCAAGAGGAAGAATGTTAGTTCCATAACTTGAAGAAAAAAAAAAAAAACATACACAACCGGTCCAAAATTTGGACACACCTTTTCAATTTAATGTTGTTTCTTTAATTTCACAACTATTTACATTGTAGATTCTCATTGACACATCAAAAGTATGAATGAACACACATGGAGTTATGTAGTAAACAAAAAACTGTGAAATCACTCAAAACATGTTTTATATTTCAGATTCTTTAAAATAGCCTCTCTTTGCTTTGATTACTCTCTCAGTGAGCTTCATGAGGTCGTCACCTGAATTGGTTTTCCAACAGTCTTGAAGGAGTTCCCAGAGGTGCTGAGCACTCAATGGTCCATTTGCCTTCAC